AACAACATGCTGTGATAGTACGAAGGTCAACCATGGTAAGGGTTTATTATGTTCTGATCAACCAGGCCATAAACGATTACAAGGTGTTTTTTGTCTTTGAGAAATCAGAGTATATTCATCACTCGATAAAATTATGTATTCTCTCCTTAAGTAAGAAAATATTTGACAAGGCTGTTCACCATAGCCTGAGGCCTCAGCAGGTACTTGCGAGACATGTTGCCACTGGTGATACTTAATCAGTAGAGATATGAAACTAATTTCTTTTTCTCACCATTTTCTAAGGGTGATTCGCTGCAGCTTAGAGGAAATTCATGTGATAAACAAGAAACACACATCATTAAAGATGTTTCTCAAATAAGCGCCCGCGCTCAAAAAAGCGCCCTCCTCCGAAAAAGCGCCCACCCCTATGACCACATTGAAAAACAAGTGCCATTCTTAAATAAACGCCCCTCCCCTCCTCCCTCACTCAGGTAGTAGGCTTACTACAAACACCTTTTTTCCATTGCCTCTCCATTTTAAACTTTCCAAGCTTCAACTATAGCGGAAGTAGTACTGCGATAGAAGATTGTTCTTTTTTCGTTAAAGCCACTTCCGCTTCTTCTTTCTCCGTGTGGTTACAGAATTCCTTTATGTGCGTTATCCGTTCTTGATTTTTATTACTTTTTACTGCGCTAGATTAATAGGCGCCCCCCTCAATTGGGCGCTCTCCTTTCAATTAGCGTCCCCCCTTTTAGTCGAAATTTCTACTTTCTTGTTCTGACTCGAAAACCAGAAAAAGAAAAAGTTTTCAAGGCAAAATCTCTTTTGTGGTTGTCCCGCACGTGCTCGTCTATCGCATTCTATCTAGGTTGAAACGAAATTTCCAAAACATAGCATTTGGGAAAAAAAACGAAGAAATATTGCATCAAGGATGCATAAATTGAAACTTCCGTAATTTGAATGACTCAGTAGGCGGGTTTAATTCATAAACGTTAATCCAAAAAAGTAAAATTCGCAAATGAATGTTATTGGAAATAGTTTATTCCTAAGTCTTTCGAGGAATATCGCATCTAATATCCTTGAATTATTCACAAAACACAAATTGAATGTTGACTTTATGGAGGCCTCCAGTTGTCACTCTGGTGGTTTAGAAAGCATTCCATATCAATAAATAATCACTGCACCTGCTGCCTTTTAAGTTCATCCGTTCTGAAGCGATAACTACTAACTATGAACTAGGTGGTAGCTGCAGTGCTTTAAACTGTTTTACCAGCGCCCTCAAGTGTTAGCACAAGAATGAACTCTACGGATTATTTCAAGAGGGGAGCCAGAACTTTCCCTGCTATCCTTGGTATTTTGCTCGGAATCACTTTTGCATCGGTTTTGGCTTGCAATGGTAAGTATAATTCGTTTGATAGTTATGAATTAAAAACTACAGTTCTACAAATCTATTTGTAGCGTGATAGAAACAAGAACTCTTGTTCATAAAGTTTTAGGAATTATCCACTTGGATATTT